TAATTATGATATTCACCGTTAAGTGAGTTGTATATTTTTTTTGCACTGTTCAGAAACGGATTTTCGATTCTAAAGCATCACATATATTGTTATGACAGTTATGTTGCAACCAACGTTACTACACAGACAGAATAATCATTTGTCAAAAAACAACTATGCTATAACTTTTTTCAAACAATAAGTAAATAACCACTCAGTTTCTTCACAACAATTTTTGCGTAGCAATTTTTTTAACAGCTGTTGTGCAGAAACTTATTAATAAGCTGCAGCTATCCCAAACAGACCCTAGATCATTTAATTTTATCTTTTTTTTCTTTTTAATATATGTTATGCACCATCTAGCTTTTAACCAAACAAACTCGTGATATTCTCACAAATGCATCTCATAGCATGGACTATGGTCGGACGTTTGAACACATTTGTGTTAGAAACAGTAGTATTTTTTTGTCTTGCATATTAAGAGTCTATTTGGGGGCAGCTGCAGTTGTTTAAAGAAGTAATTGTGAAACTGCTGTTAAGAAAATCACGATGGTTATTACAATTTGTATTTTTTTTTTTCAAAAATCAGATCGAAGCATTTTCGCAGCCATTGTCCTTTTAACCAAATCCAGTTGCAAAACATAACTTTCAATTGCAACTTTTTGAAAAAAGAGGCAAACCAAAATCCTTAGTGAAGATTAAATTCATTGTCAATGGAAAAACAGAGAAATTACGTCTGCTACCAGCAAAAGACAAGTCGACCGTTAACCAAAATTTATTATTGGTGATATCTGACATTGAATAAAGCATAATTACATATTTTATTTTAATAAATAAAATAAAGACCAACTATTCTGTCATTCAAATAAAAGATACATACACGCACCATTATTGTCAGTATGATTCCCAGGTTGAGTGGCAAGCACAGTTGCATTTATAATCAAATATGTAATCACGTGGCAAAAGAGAGCATCCATCATAGATTCACAAGAGCTTTCGGTGATAATACTTGTTAAGAAGTGCTTCAGAATACTCTCCGAAAGTAAGAGTTCCATTTGGTGAGATCAACTGTAGCAGAGAAGCAGAAAAACAATCAATATTTAAAATGTTCATTAAAAATACGTACAAGCGCAGAGTTTCAGAACAAAAAAAAAAGAAAAATAAATAAATAAAACTTTAAGCAGTCTTTTCTGTTTATGATGAATGCTTTAAAAAAATTTTCAGGCCCATGACCATCTATCACTAGTAGTACCTCCTGATGATGACGAATTTCAGCTGGAAATTTGAGAAGCTCATCCCTGCAAATATAAATTGGAAGTTTACAAATTTATCCTGAAAGGGAAAAAGGAGGTCTAGATGCTAGCAAGGCCACATTTTTTAGGGATTAAAATTCTCTGGAGGAGAATTTGAGCTTTGAATTAAAAGCGAGAAATTTATCTAATGAAAATGATTTTTGGACTATTTGAAGGTGCCAAATATTACTGTTAAACATACCAGTCAGGCTGCATAAAAAGTGCAAAAGTTGAGCGTTCTACACCAATCGATGCTTCACCTTTAGGTGCCTGTAAAACAGGATAAAGAGAAATTACCAGACAATAAGTTTGTATCCTCGTCCAAACACACCAACACCAGACAGGAAAAACAATTCATCGAGTGAAAATTGGAAAAGTGTGATGCTAGATTCCACCACCTAGTTGAAGAAAGATATGCTAATTAATTAGAAGTTTTACATATATCAAACTAAATGCTTATGTATTTATATATCTAGCACCTAAAGATCAATTTTACATATTTGCCACCCTACTTAGATATGAAAATATGTATTCCATTTTTTAAAAGTTAATATAGTGGCACTTTTGATGTGCTATGAAAGATTTGGATGGTATAAATGTAAAAAGCAAAGTTTAGGTGTTACTTGTGTAAAATACATATAAATTGTGTGGGTATGTATGTAAGTGCCCTAATTCAGGAGTATTTTTTGTGAGGGTTGCAATATATTTTCCTTAATTGGAATTTGAGAAGTTTTGGAAGAAATAAATATATACTATACTAGATAACCCGTTTCTCTATCTCAATATCTGGAGTTCACTGTAAGACGTACTTCAGGTCTATTGTCTACCTCACATTCCTAGTAGTTGTAGTTTTGCCTAGTCCAACCATGGGATGATTTGGTGACTTAAGGGCAATTATGAATAGGGGTGTAAATGAGCCGAACACGAGCGAGCCCAGGCTTAGCTCGTGTTCGGCTCGTTTA